TTTTATAAACGTAATATTTTTTAAGAAACTTTGTTTTTTTTTTAGAAAAAGTTAACCCTGAATTTTGAAAAAATCCAAACAATATTTAAAGTGTAACATAGTACATAAAAGAGCCGACTAATATAAAGTTTGCTCTAACATTTCAGTCAATTCAAAAGTTTAAAAATTACATTTTTCTAAATATATAATATAAATTCATTTTCTTCTTAAAGGGTTACATGGGTTTGGGACTTTCAAAAAAATTTTTTTTTTTTACCGTTTTGAATTCTACAACTTATCTAGAATATTGTATTGAATTTTGAAGTCGATAGGAGTAGTAGTTTTAAAGATAGAGCCTTGGGAAGTTCCACTCTTTAATGGCTCTTATACCAGCACTCAAATCTTTAAACGCGTTTTTCTCAAAACGCTTTTTCTAAAGTCGGTTGTCAAGAATTCTCGAAAACTATTTAACCAATTTTGATGAAATTTGCTATACGTCTTCGTAATACTATTGACAAGAACTTGGACGAAGGATTTTCGTTTTTTTCATAAAATCGAATTCTAAGAAACCAAAATGTGGTGCAAATTGTAGCGAAATTTGAATGTTCTTGCTAAAAACGTTGACAAAAATCCAAATTTCAATTTTTTTCTTTTTCCTTCGTCCAGTTTCTAGTTTTAAGTATTCACTAAAAGATCCTATTTTTTCAACAGAAAAACCCCCACCGTTTATAAGTTCTGCTGTCAACGCGAAAAAACTTTTTTTCGGTGGGGTCACCGGAAATGACGTCGCAATGGCTGAGTTTAAAATATTTTTCAACCAAAATTTTAAAAAATGTTCTTTAAATATGTATCTTAAATGCTATAAAAAGTTTGAATAAGAATTCCATTTTTTATATAGAAAAAAAAATTGTTGAAAATATGCTATTTTTTCCCGGTGTAAACCCATGTAACTCCTTAATATAATTGTTTCTTTTCGATATATAAAAGTATACTTCTAATAACAGAGATAATGTTATTCCATAGTTCGTCTCAAATTGATTAGTAAAAAATTCTTTTTTTCGTTGAAAAAATAATCATTTTGCAAAAAGTCCATATACAAAATTTTTCCTATAAATGAAAAAGAAATTAATTTAAAAAATTATTTGTACGTTGTTTTTTTACGGTAAAAAAATATTTTATCAAAATTTTATATACCTAAATTTAAATAAAATCACACGTTAATAGTATTTTATAAAAATAATCCCAGAGTTTCGTATCGTAATAAAAGCGGAAGGTTTGCGTTACTTTTGAATAAAATTTATAAAACAAATTATATTTTGTATGACGCATTATCCTCTTAAAAGACATTGGTACTTATCGATACGTTTATTTATAACTTATATTAAATATTTTCTATTGGAAAGCATATTCACTAATATTTCATTTATATTCTTATTTGTAGAATTTGTTTACATTGTTGCATTATTAAAACAAAAATTAAAAAAGCAGTTGAATCTTTTTCTTGTTACTTCAAAAAATTAGTCCTATAGTATTATGGTTAACATAAAATGATATTTATTATAATGCAGAGTACTTGATTGAAATATCATTTCTTCTGAATTCATATAAAAATGATTATTAATTCCACGGTAAATAAATCACTTCAACAAAATATTTTCTCTGTTTTTTGTTTCGTTGAAGATTCAACTTACACGTGGAAAATCCGATTGAAGAATTTTTTAATGTCTCAATAGTATTGATTACATTGAATTTTATGAAGAGTTTTCAAATACCATTTCATAGTTAATTTTGGTAATTTTAAAGCATCCATATATTGATCAAACGTCCAAGATGGATATGCGTCTTTTAATGCAGATAAAAATTGCAGGCGTAAATTAAGACTAATGAAATTTATTATTCCAAGGCATTCGTTAAAAAAACGAAGATTAGTATTGAATCTTTCAAACCAATATTCAACTGTGACAGAAGCAACCTCAGGAAACCGAAAACATTGCTTCGATACTAGCAAACGTACAGAATTATAAACACCTATGTCACTTTTCCAAAGAAACCACAACGAATGCATCAATAAATCGAATTCCATATTTGTAGGTGATCAAACATAGAACGTAAAACTTTTATAATGCAAACACAACTCTGGTAATATTAAAATATTAAAATACTTTACTATATATGAATGTTTAATTTTACTTGTATATAAATCTCGTTGTATTCTAATACGATTATAAATGACTAATAAATCGAAATAAGTATAATAGTTCGTACACAGTTGTGTTAATTTAATTCGATATGACGTGTTCTGTATATTTAGAATTTATCGATATACATAAACAAAAGTGTTATCCCATAAAATTGTAAGATTCTATCGTTATATATATTATAT